TAACTCCCAAGGCACCAGGCACATACTTTGTGCACCAACAAACAGGCAGACAAAACATCCATACACAAAATTAAAAAAAAAAAAAATGGAACCAGAGAGATGGCTCAGTACTTAGGAACACAGACTGTTCTTCCAGAGGACCCAAGTTTGACTCCTAGCATCCACATCTGCTCACAACTGCCTGTAACTCCAGCTCCAGGGGATCTAATGTCTCTGGCTTTCTCCCATAGCTGCACTCACATGCACATACCCACACAATTTAAAAGAATACACTAACTTCCTTAAAAGATCTTCATTAGACATTTTAATGTAATTTTAAAGTATTTTAATGTAATTTTTTTAATATCCAAAAAAGAAAAACTTTTCGGTGGCAACAGTAAGAACAGAAATATGTCATTATCCTAGGTCAAGTTACCAGTAAGGGCTCAATGAGTTTTTGTGACCGTTTCAAAGGGCAGCCAGCACTCTGACATTTGAAAACACAACCACCTGCTCACCTTTACAGAATATTGAGAGAATTATGTTTGACTTAAGAGTTTTGTTAGGTTTTTAGATTTTTTTTTTTTCCGGGTAGGGTCTCTAGGTAACTCACGATGGACTTCAAATTGCAACCCTCCTGCCTCAGCTTCTGAGTTGTAGGCCACAGGCAAGTGCCATAACACTCAGCTTAATATAACAACTAATTAACCTAATAATTTTTTGGAAAAACATGACATTCCAACAACCATAGCGTATACTAGAACCTTTCACTAAAGCTGCTCTACCAATGCTTTTGTAGCCGCTGGTGCTTAAAGGAGGATGGTCAATGGCAAGCTATTTTAACCCTGAAATGCAAATGAGTGAACACGCGCTATAAAACCCCACTCAAGTATCAAGTCGCTGATGGCGTTCACTTGTTTTCAGATGATGTTTTAATTTTAACATCAGGAAAATCTGGGATCCCCAGGTGTAGAGGCACAGGGCAGGAACCCTTAAAGGACCGGAGCTCTGGGGACCCCAGCGCAGCCCCGACCACGCAGTTCTGAGCGGCTGCGGGACAGCAGGGTGCTCGGGCGAGGAAGCAGGAGGAAAACACCCCGCAAGAATCCCGCACACCCCACGGCCAACTCACCATGGTATGGAGCCGTACAGCTCCCGCCGGAAGACGCTCTGAGAAGTCTCATTTCCCAAGCGGAAGGGGCGGGCCTTCAGGGTCTGATTGGTTGCAGGGCGACGGGAGGCGGAACTGCGCATGTGTCCAAGGTCACCCCCTTTCCGGCTACAGCGACCCGAGAAGTGGGCGGATTACAGCTGCACTGGGCGGGGCTGCTCACCAAGGGAAAGGGTAGGCTTTAATCACCTTGGGAGGAACTTTGAGGACATTCAAACGCTTCTACCTGTGTGTGAGTTTATTACATTACTACTCCTGTTTTAAAAATGAAGAAGCAGGGACATTAAGAAATATCACAGTAAGGCCGGGCATGTCTCGGTGATTTCGAGGTCAGGCTCCTCTACATAGACTTAGCCTATATTAAAATACATCTATCAAATCCCAACTCGGTTTCATTAAAAATAATGTCGCAGAAAACGCTTGACTTCAGAATACAAGGATTCGAATTAAATCACAAGAACCTACGCCATAAAGGTGGCCACGCCTGTTTGATCTCAGCACTCAGGAAGCAGAGGTAGGCATATCCTTAGTGACCCTAATTCAAAAACCAAGGTGGATGTCAACCTTAAGTATAAGGTTGTCCTCTGGCCTCCACGTGCACTTTACTGATGCACGTTACCGGTCAGGGTGCAGCATTACCTGTGTATAATTCTAACGCTAGAGGTTGAGGCAGGAAGACTGTACTACACAGCAACACTCTGTCTCAAAAACCAAATGAATAAATAAATTAATAAATAAATAAATACCAAACTAAAACAAACCAAACCAAAACATCTCAATGGAGGCTGAAGAGATGGCTCTTCCTGAGGCTCCAGATTGATTCCGGGCATCCTTGTGGCTACTGCAGTTTAAGAGGATCTGACACCACCACCAGGTGGCAGAGTCCTTATGTATGACTGGTAGCACAAGGGTTCAATTGCCTAAACTGGGTGCAAACCTGTAACCCTATATATTTGGTGAGTGAGGTAGGAATATTGAGTTGAAGCATACTTGGGCTTTAGAGTAGTTCATTGTCAGCCTCCCCAGTTAGTGAGATCATCTCAAACTTTAGGAAAAAATTAGCGCTTGTAACTGGAGTCCACTGCTTTCTATATGGTGCTTGTCTTGGGAGGTTGTGGCAGGACACTGAATTCAAGTCACACTTCACTACCAAAAATACCAAAAAGACATGACAGCAAGAGGGATTTCTTAGGAAGAACAGTTTCAGTGAGGGGGAAGAGGGGGAATTTAACATACTTGGGTTTATCCCATAACACAGATTTAAATCTCTACAGTTTCTTTCTTCACAGTAATGTTATAGTAGTCTATAAAGACTATTTGCAGACCTTATCTATTAGGCACTGGTCTTAGTGCAATTGTATTCTAGTTAGAGACACATGCAAGAAGAAAAAAATAAAGTTATTTGTAAGTAGTATAATGTCAAAGCTAAGATAATGTACTAGGTATGGTGGATCATGCCTTTAGTCCTAGAAGCTAGAGGCAGAGGCGCGGAGTTCTGAGGTCCAGGCCAGCCAGAAACTCAGTGATACCTTGTCTTTTACAAAGGAGGGTGGGGTGACTTGTGTTATAAATTTTGACTGGGTAGTTAATTCATAGTGGTCAGAGCAGTTTTTAAAAATATTTTGTGTGTTCAAGTGTCTGAAGAGGCCAGAAGAGGGCATTAGAATGCCTTAGAGTTGACATTAAAAGGCTTTTGTAAATCACCAAATAAGGGTGCTGAGATTCAAACTCAGTCCTCAGGATTGAGCAGGAAGCACTCTTAACTACTGAGCCATCTCGCCAGCCCCTCGGAAAAGCTTCCTCAAGGTGAGAGTCATTTCTGAGTGCTAAGTATGCTTGGAAAATGAATACTTAATACTGTTTTCCAGGCAGAATAAACTAAAGCAAATATCTCATTGGAAAGATGCATTTCTAGCTAGGTGGTGGTTATCACATTCCTTTAATCCCAGCACTTGGGAGGCAAAGGCAGGAGGGTTTCTGAGTTTGAGACAAGCCTGGTTTACAAGATTTCCAAGTATACCAAGAGTTCCAGGATAGCCAGAGCTATTCAGAGAAACCTTGTCTCAAAAAAAAAAATCTTGACCGGCTGCCCATACTTAAATAAATAGCCCATCATTGTAGGTGACCTCTTCAGTGCACCTGGTCTGACACCCCAAACTGGATTACCACAGGAAAAATGGTTTCAACTCCATCAGGCACCAGGCTATTATTTTTTAGGTCTTCCTTTTAAAATAGCCCTTGGTTGGCATCTGCAGATGTAGATTTGAAGTAAGTTCACCACTGTTTCCTAACAAATGGTTCATTATTGCTGGAGGAATTAGATACAGGTGAGGAGTCTTAAAATGTGCATTTTACATATCCTGTGGCTCAGAGTTATCTTTTGACTGGGGGTGAGGTGGGGAGAACTCAAGCATCACAGTTACCTGTTTCTCCCTTGTATTACTGTCTCTTCTGTACCTCAAATCACAGGTACGATGTCCTACTGTCAAAAACCTTTCCTATGTTCCCGTTCAGTCCTTCTGATGACTGGTTTAGCATTAAGAACATTTGGTAAAATGCTTGAGTCAGTTACTTTTTGTTAGTTTTTGAGTTTGTAATTTCTCTCTCTGCTGAAAATTAGGATCTACTGTCCCTTTTTCTATAAATTAATCAGTATCTCCAAGGCATCTACTGTTCTCTAAAAGGGGGCGATGTGTGCATGTCTTTCCATGTATTTTGACTGTAGATTATATAACTTCCCTTTAGAAACTCAGATATTACTGTATTTGGGCACTATTGTGAAAACTCTCCATCCCGTTTTCTTCTAAAGAGTGCTTTATCTATTAAAAAGATAACCTTGTCACTGAAATTATTTAAGTTGTCAGAGTTTCTGTTCATTTGGCCTTAGAGTTTTCATTTGCAATTTTAAAATTCTACCCTGAAACAGCATTTTTTTTTTTTTTGTGAATTCTTTGCTCTTTCAGTTTTTTCTTTGATTTGGTTTCTGAAACAGGTCTACTGTGTAGCCCTCCCTGGCTAGCCTGGAACTGTCAGTCCTCTTGGGTGACCCAAAACCATCATAAAATGCAGGTGTTTATATTATGATTCATCACAGTAGCAAAATTATAGGTATGAAGTAGCTATGAAAATAGTTTTATGGTTGGGGGTCACCACAGCCTGAGGAACTGCATTAAAAGGTGATAGCATCAGGAAGGGTGTGAACCACTGTTCTGTGTAGAACATGCTGGCTTCAGAAGTCACCTACTTTGCCTGCCCACTTTGCCTCCAGGGTGCAGGAATTAAAGACATTCGCTATCACCACAGGCTTGTCTGTTTTGTGAGACAGGGTCTAGGTAGCTCAGGCTGGAATGGAGTATATGTAGCATAGTTGGCCTTGAATTCGGAGTCCTCGTTCAGCCACACAAGGGCTGGAGTACAGGAGTGCTCCCTTTGGTCAGCCCTTTAGACTTGGCTATCTGCTGGGCTCCTTTGAATATCCTGCTAGATAGAAAATTTTGGAAAGTAGGATTTGGAAGGAATCTGCAAGTGACAGAGACCAACTTATTCAGTACCTTTCCAAGATTTCCCTTCTCATTTCCATTGGCTTCAGAAGCCTGATATACCTCTTCATCTGAACTTGTCGGCTGTGTTCTGCTTGAATTTCATTTTCAAATGAACTGCACAAGCTGGAAACTGAATATACGAGAGCTCTACAAACAGGAGTGGTGTCCTTTACAACTGGTCTGGGTTGCTGGCCAGAACCTTCTATCCACTGCTTTGTATAGTCTGCTCAGAGTTTACTGGCACAAGAGTTATAAAATACTCTATGAAATTACTAACCCTGAAATATCAAAGATTCAAACTATAAAAATTAAGGCAAACAAAGTCTGTCATTTATTTACAATAAAACCCCACTTTATGTAGCTGTACGCACCCTTTAAGTCATTTGTTTTGCAAAAGTAAAAGATTAAAACTGAGACAGACATTTAAAGGAAAATCTGACTTAAGAAAATGAAAAGCAAACTGTTTAGTTCATTCTATCAAAGAATCAGCTTTTGTATGATATATAAACAATTTTACAGTATAAACAAATAATGCCACATATATTTAACTTAAAATTCTGTTTGTCCTGTTAAACACAAAGAAACAAAAATAAATTTAATGAGCATCTAGTCTCAGAAAAGCTTTGTAGCCCTAGCAGATCTGGAAAGATTGTATTGAGTCTTTCCTTTGGCTCAGTTGGGTGATCAGTAAGTTCAGCGAGCTTACAGGGACTCTGTCATGTTAACATGAAGAACTATCAGTCCTTATTATTTAAACATTATCTTCAACAGTAAACAGAGAGCAACATAAAATCTAAAATTAAGATTAATTAAAATCTACTGTTAATTTGAAAAACCCCAGGAACTTCTATCTGAAAAAGAGCACAGCTCCTGGTGTGAGGCGCATAGCTCCTGGTGTTTAAGGTGTTTAGAGGCTCCTCATTGAGTTCTAGGCCAGCTTAGGCTCCATGAAACCCTATCTTAAAAGTCAATAACAAAATGTACAATATACACACAGCATCACAGAAAACATTCTCTAACAGTAGCTGACCTGCCAACCTGATGAACAAAGGTGCTTCTCTACAGTGATAGACAGTCACATAGTACTATCTTTGACTCGGGATTTTAGATTAACTTCATGTTGTATTTTTTAGACATTTAAAAGTTTTGTAACCACCTCAAACCTGTCCTGAAAGAATCATGAACCATGATTCTAAGGCTCTTCTGTTTAAACGCTGAGCTGAAGCCCACCTTAATACATAAACAGTGAGAATGTTATTGCCCCTCCTCAATGAAAACAGTACAGTTTTAGAGCTATCGGAGATGTTTGGGTTAAGACCGTTGCAGTTCCCCTCACTATCATCATGGGGTGGCATCAGTATTTTATAACTGACGCGTTAACATCTGAGACTTTAAAAAGACACTGCCTAGAACAAAAATTATGCACAGCTTTGGTTTAAATTTGTTTTCCTATTGATCGAAACTTCATTTTTATGATACAGTGATGTCTAAAATCATGATTAAGAGACGTGATTTAAATTACAGCTAAAAACAGCATATGATTCTAAGAAATAATCCATCTTCTATGTTTAAGTAATAAATCTTTAACAACAGAAAGGGTAAAATTGAGGATGTATGTCTTTATCATAAAATTTTTATCTGGAAGGAAAGGGCAAGTGTTTTAGTATGTTTTCTCAAACATGTTTCTTACATGAAAAGTTGGTGTTACTACCACAAAATTATTCTTTCTACTTATGAAATTTTACATAGCATCGTTTAAGCACCAAAGAAAAATTCTGTAAACAAACTTTTAACCAGTAAACTAATGGCAAATATCTATTTGCCTTTATACATTTCTTAAAAGGCCTCACATGAGCCTCTACTTCCTATTATGCATTTTATAATAAAAGTCCAGATGTATTTATACAAACACCACAGAATTACTGTACATTTTATGGAAACAAAAGGTAGATCAACAGACTCACGCTTTTTAGTTACAAAGTAAACACGAGAAACCTATAAAATATATGTCGTGTAGAAAAATTCGGTATTTTAAGTTTCATGGAAGGGATAGGAATTAGTAAAAGGTGGTAGTGCCACTGGCATCTATCTGTTACCTGTAAACAGTAAGAAAGTGATAATCAATACATTAGAAATGCCTTACCTCCTAATATGTCCCTTCTCTCACACCGGTGCCTCAATTTATAAGTTAAAACTGGCTCTCTAAAATATTAGAACAACTTCAACAAACAATGAATTCGAGATGGATTAAGTTGAGTCTATAGTGGATTTCTGGCATATTAGAGAAAAATACTGCAGGGCCCACGAGGACTGACACACATGTTACACAGACAGAGTGACTCAAACTTTCAAACCTCGGCTGTGCCACATTTTCTCTGTTGCTATTAAATTGCTTTCTAAACTGTCTGGCAGCAAGGCAATAAAACAGAAAAACAAAATGTGAAAAGAACACATTAAGTGTTTAATGTTTGTCTATCTAGGTGGAAAAAAGCCTCAGTATAGCTCTTACTACAGATGGGAAGACTTCCATTTGGCACACGAGTTGGTAAGAAAGCAGGAAAGAACTCCAAGCGCTTGGAATTCCAATCTTAGGGTGCTAAGGGGACAGTAGGAAAGGAAAGCAGAAGATAAGACTGCTGCAAGGAAAACACTAGCAGTCAAGACAACAGAGGGCTCTTGTGTCTTCTACCATCCACTGTCTCTGCAATACTTTCATCTGAATGCAATATATAAATTATTATTTACATAAATGATTATTATCAGTAATGAACCAGAATCTGTTTTTGCTGTGCTCTAACAGTGCCTACTGAGAAAACCATCACCATCACGCAAAAAGGCCTTAAACAAAAACTCCATTCATATTGCATATTTTATTTAGGTCCGTCTTCTTGTTCCTCTTCAAGTTTGGTGCACAAAAATGAAAACTCTAAAAGGTCCTGTAAACGAACTCTGGGTTCCTGCAGCTGAAGCTCTTGTTTCTTCTTAAGTACAGTGTTCTGTGGGCTTACGAAGGCATTCATTCCTTAAACAGTGGTGTCTCCAAAGTCCTTGTTCCAGCGTATGTATGCCTCTAAGGTCTGAGGACTCACACTGCGTTTTATCTTTTTTAAGGATTCTGTGAAGTCAGATAATCGAATATTTCTCATCTAGATTAAAAAAAAATTGACACAAATGATGAACACATATACAGTGGACAATGGTTAAAAGCTTGTTAATTTTATAACAGATACAGACTTATTCTTTGAAAATCCTACTAATCATTGAAATGTATTTTTTATATTACATATTAAGCAAGTTTGCTATACAAGATATCTTATAAAAATGTACACCACTGTATTCTTATTACTTGTATTTAGATTCATAGATATCAACAATTCAAAGCATATTTTTTCTCACTAAAAAAAATTAGAGAAAAATCTGACAAAATACAAATGGAAAAATGACTTAATTTTCCCACTAAGAAGTGTAACTATAGTGATCTGAATAAGAATGGCCTCTGTAGGCTCATAGAGTCGAATGCTTGATCTGAAGTTGGTGAAGTTGAGAAGGGTTAGGCAGCGTGGCCTTGCCGGAGGGGTGAGCTCTCAGCTACTGCTTCAGTATCATGCCTACCTGCCTGTTCCCATGCTGGTCACAGCTGCAAATTTTCTAAGCTACTCTGGTCATAGTGGTTTCTTTACAACAAAAAGGTAAATAAGACAACAACCAAAACTTACTTTACTTCTACTTATTCTCTCCATAGTTTTCTAAGACTGCATACTGGTCACCTTTTATTTACAATAATCATATTTGCTAACTCTGTGCCAGGTTTGTCACGAAGGAAAAGCGGTTGGTAACAATAAACATGAGACTTTAAAGGAAATGCCTTTTAAACAGCATGTGAGATGCTTGCCTGTACAAATAACTTCCTACTACTTACACTGCTGAGGGCCAAACACAACACCTTTTTAAATGCAAGGCAAGCATTTATCACTGAGGTACATCTCCAGCAACATTCAAGTATTCTCCTAATAAATTAAATCAAGTTTCTTGTAACTTCTTACTCAGTACTTAAATAACTTGATGAGAGAAAATGATTGTGTATTTTTAAACTATTACCATAAAATCATCATAACTGATTTTATAGGCCTTGTATTTTGAAATGAAACAAGTTAAAAATTCTCTTGTTTCTAATTAACAGACTAGAAAAAAAATGATGAGTTTTAGGGGATCCAAATGAAAACAAAGTAATAATAAAATAGCATATACCTCACTGGCAGACATATTCTTCACCTGCTCTGGTTTCAGTTCTGTAAAACATAAGTCAGATACTTAAAAAACCATTTTGAAGTTCAAGTTTCTTATTGGCAAATGTTAAGTACACTGATCTAATGGTACCTATGTAATACAAATCCTTAAAGTCAAAAGATAGTCACATAGAGAACACGCAAAACTTACAAATGCTTTCAAAAGAATACTACTCTGGCTAGGCAGTGGTAGCACAAACCTTTTATCCCACACTTTGGAAACAGAGACAGGCAGATCTCTTGAATTCTGAGTTCAAGACAGCCTGATCTACAGAGTAAGTTTCTGGACAACCAGGGCTACACAGAGAAATCTTGCCTCAAAAAAACCAATAAAAATAAAAACAGAAGACTACTACTTTGTCTTAGGAATAGATGTAGGCATTTAATTTCTTGCATATGCCCCAAACAACAGTTTACAAACTTGAAATACAACTAAAAGGAATGCAACTTTTTGGTGATAAAAGATTATTTTAATTAATTTGTGCATACTAGTGTTCTGTCTGCATGTATGTCCTTGCACCATGTGCATACCTGGAATATGTGGGGGTCAGTTAGAGTTGGCTTTGAGTTGTCATGTGGGTGCTGGGAATCAAACCTGGGTCCTCTATAAGAACAGCCAGTCTCGCCGGGCGGTGGTGGCGCATGCCTTTAATCCCAGCACTTGGGAGGCAGAGACAGGTGGATTTCTGAGTTCGAGGCCACAGAGTCTACAGAGTCCTGGTCTACAAAGTGAGCTCCAGGACAGCCAGGGCTACACAGAGAAACCCTGTCTCGAAAACCAAAAAAAAAAAAAAAAAAAAAAAAAAGAAACAGCCAGTTTTCTTAACTATGAGTCACCTCTCCAGATGCTAGATTTTTTTTTTAAAAATCAGAAATTTTGTTTTCTTCATAACTAAAACTTTCTAATTTCTATAATATACAAAGAGGGCTGAGGCTGTAGCTCAGCAGCAGATTATCCCAGCATGCGTGAAGCCCTCAATCCCTAGCACTACCACAAGAAACAGACCAGCAAACACCCACTTTTCCTGAGTTTCCTGCTCCTCTAGTGATAGTGTCACTATCAGGAATTGACACTTTGCTGGTGGTGCATGTCTTTAATCCCAGCACTCAGGAGGCAGAGGCATGGAGATCTTTGTGGTTTGAGGACAGCTTGGTTTACAGAGTGAGTTCCAGACAGCCAGAACTACACAGAGAAACCTTGTTTCAAACAAACAAACAAACAAACAAACAAAGGATACTCTAGAAGATAATTTACAAATTTCTCTTCTCTTAAAAAAATTTACATATGCACACACGTATACATATATGTGTGTGTCTATGTGTATATGGCACATGTGTAAAAGGAGTTACAGGTTGTTGCAGGCTACCCAATGTAGGAGATGAGAACCCAATTTGAGTCCTCTGTAGAGTAGCAAGTGCCCGTGACCGTCTCTCTCCAGCCCCTCATTCCCATCGTCGTCATCATCATCATCATCATCACCATCATCATCATCATCATCCTATCGTTGTTATTATTATGATGTATTGTGGGTGTTTGCATGCATGTATGTCTGTGCACAATGGGCATGCCTGGTGCATGCAGAGGCCAGAAGGAGTCAGATCCTATGCACCTGGAGTTACACATGTTTGAGAGCCACCGTATGGGTGTTGGAAATTGAACCTGGGTCCTATTGAAAAGCACTAAAGTGCTCCTAACTACTGAGCCATCCCTCTAGCCTCTACTCCCCAGTTCTATTTTTGACTAAAAACAAGTTTCATCCACTGCTCAGTTGGTGCTTAGAAAGCAGCATGGAGGCTGAAACAAATAACAAATTCAGCAACCCAAATCCGATCAGTTACCATCTCCCTGGAGCATCACTGCTTGTAAGTAAAGAAGGAACACCAGGGGGCTGACTGTTTTTCTGGCATCCATTGTATGTACACCATGCAACACTTGTTGAGAAGCCAACTGGGCCTGGCCCTTTGGATGACTGCTTCTAGGAGGTGGAGGTATCTCCATCATGAAGGTTTCCAGCCTTCAGGGTCTTATTCCTGAGAGACTGAAAGAATGTGCTGAGGCAACACCAGTCCATTTGGTTTTTTTGGGGGGTGGGCGGTTCTCACTTTGAGGAATTTGAAGAGATTAAGGTATTTCTGTCTTTGAGGACCCTCCACTCCATAGGGGCTTGTCTTTGGGAGGTTGAGAGGTATCTCTTACACAAATGTGGGGTTCCTGACAGGAACTGGGAATCAATGTAGGACCAAGACTTGGGCTTGGTAACATAGCTGTGGTATCACATTTGTCTACATATACTATGTTTTTGGGGTTTTGTAGTTTTTTTGAGACAGAGTTTCTGTGTATCCCCGGCTGACCTGGAATTCATCCGTAGACTAGGCTGGCTTCATACTTGGAAATCCACCTGCTTCTGCATCCTGAGTGCTGGTACTGAAGGTGTGCACCACCACCACCTAGAGATCTATATATACAGTCTTAACCTCAGGGTTCTTATGCTTAAGAACTTCCGTTCCTCCCTTGGATTCCAAACAGCCTGCTTCAGTGTTTCTGGTTTTTCCATTTATTCTTAACATGTTATTTTTGGTATGTACATGTGAGCCATCATACACATATGTGGGTACCAACTGTGCACTCAGGTCTTCTGCACAGGATGTCTGGTGTCATCCTTTATCGCTCTTTGCCTTATTCCTTGAAGACAGGGCCTTGGGGGCTGGAGAAGTAACAGCACTTGCTACACAACCATGAAGCCTGGAGTTCAGATCTCAGCACCCTGTGCATGTAATCTGCTCTAAGGAAGCTGGGCACTAAGACAATTGCTAGGGTTTGCAGATTTCTAGCCTTGTTACGAAAACCTAGTTCAGGGAGTCATGCTACCTCAAATTAATAGCCAGGGAATGATAGACCAGGGTGCCTCACTACCTCTTCTGGCCTCCTTGCTTATACAAAAGCATGTATACATACACAAACACACACACACACTCTCTCTCTCTCTCTCTCGTAAATACACAAATCTAGAACAACAGCAGCAGCACAAAACAAGCTACCTCACTGAACTCACTATTGGCTAAGCTAGCTGGCTAGCTAACCTCTGGAAAATGTTCCCCAGTCCTGTGGAGTCATGTCTATTTTTATATGTGCATGTTGGAGATTCAAATGCAGGAGGATTTTATTTTTCCATAGCAAGGTTCTAACCTGAGTCATCTCCTAGCCCTTAGGCTTCTTCTGGTGTTGCTGTTGATTGTTTGTAGTACCAGGGACTGAACCAGGGCCCTGGACATGACAGGCACTGCCCAGTCACTGTGCTGTACCCTGATGCTCTCTCTTTTACACTGCAGCAAGCCTTCATCTCACACAGTAGTCCCTGTTGGCCTTGCACTTGTTACCCTAGGTCAGCTTCCTAAATAGTTGGGATTACAAGCCTGTGCCAGTGTGCCTTCCTATTAGTAGGTTTTTAGAACTTCAGAATACTGAGTCTAAAAAGCTTTAAGTATCTGTTTTAAAGTCTTTTATTTTACTTCTATTTTATGTATGGGTGTTTTGTCTACATGTGTGTCTGCTTACCAGATAAGTGCTTGGTGCCTGCACAGGCTAGCAGAGCATGTTGGATCCCTAAAACTGCAGTGTCAGATGGAGGGTGTTGTACAAGTCAAGTGTAGATGTTCCAGAGGGTAGAGACATTGTACCCCCAGGAGCTGGAGTTACAGGTAGTTCTGAGTTGCCTGACACTGGGGCTGAGAACTGAACTCAGGTTCTCTTAACAGCTGAGTCACCTAGCCAACCTTGTTTTATGTTTTTAAAGATTGTTCATAAAGAAAAGACGAAAAACACGCAACAGAGAACATATGTTTTCCAGAAAACCTTAACTATTTACTTTGATATCTTTCACAAAAAATGTCTTCTGACCTTTGGTCTAGACATTGTTTTGTATCAAGCTTTTCAGTGATACAACTTAACTTTTTAAAAATATTTCACGTGGGCTGGAGAGATGGCTCAGTGGTTAAGAGCACTGACTGTTCTTCCAGAGGTCCTGAGTTCAATTCCCAGCACCCACATGGTGGCTTACAACCATCTGTAATGGGATCTGATGCCCTCTTGTGGTGTGTCTGAAGAGGGTGACAGTGTACTCATATACATAAAATAAATCTTTAAAAAAAAAAAATATTTCACGTGTGTACATTGGTGTTTGGCCTGCATATATGTCTATGTCAGATCCTCTGGAATTGGTGTTACACAGTTGTGAGCTGCCATGTGAACCCAGATCCTCTAGAAGAGCACTCAGTGCTCCCAACTGCTGAGCCACCTCTCTAGCTCCAACTGTACTTCTTTTATACTGATGACTTAGTGGTCAAGGGAGTTCAATTCCTAGCACCTACAGGACAGCTTACAATTTGCTGTAACTCAGTTCTAACTGAAACTCAGTAACTAACTGAAACTCAGTTCTAGGGTATCTGATTCCTTCTTTTGATCTCTGTGAGCACTGCATGTATATGGTGCTATATATATGCAAAATAAATAAAAACATAAAATAAATAAGATGTAAAACTATGTATCTCTCAAGACACTAAACATAAGACTTCAAATTCCTTCCCACTCACCTCGGATAGGACCCAGTGCTGCATCCTTCGCCAAAGCTGTCAGATCACTTCCAGAGTATCCATCAGTCATTCTGCAGAGTGGAAGCAAGACATAACACATTATCTTCTCTGCAGATTAAAACTTCCCTTCAATCTTACAACTCATAAGGTACAGGCAGAAGTATCAGAAGCCTGAGGCTAACCTGATTATATTGTAAGAGAAATAAAAAGTCCCAACAGAAGAAGCACACAATAATCTCTACACAACAAGTATACACTAGTTTCAGTTTATAAGCAAGCTAACAGTTAAGTAGTTTTGTTTTTCATTCTTTTAAAAATATATTTTATGTGTATATGTGCCTAGTTTTATGTAGGCATACAACTGTGTGACTATTACCCACAGAGGCCAGAAAGGGGCACTGGATCCCTCAGAGCTGGAGTTAGCTTACAGATAGTTGTGAGCCACCTTACGTAGGTGCTTCAGGGAACTGAACCTAGGACTTGTACAAGACCAGCCAGTGCTCCTAATTGCAGAGCCATCGCTCCAGTGTCACGGTTTAACTTTTTAAAGGCACAGAAAGGCCGGTTTATAACAAGGGCCTACACAGTCTAATGCCAGCTCCTTATCATACCTAGTTTTCAGCATGAGAGAACCATTCCTTCATGTCAGTCCAACCTGGAGCCTTACAATACAACCTGGAGCCAAAGACAGCTATGAAGGAGGCCCAACACACTTACAGATGACTAAGTCATATGCAATGGGAAAAGAATAAGACACCTCTACATTAGAATAAGGAATACTGGGTTTTTTACTGGTCTTAGTTTGGGTTTTACTGCTGTGAACAGAAACCATGACCAAGGCAACTCTCATAAGGACGACATTTAGCCGGGCGGTGGTGGTGCACGCCTTTAATCCCAGCACTTGGGAGGCAGAGGCAGGTGGATTTCTGAGTTCGAGGCCAGCCTGGTCTACAGAGTGAGTTCCAGGACAGCCAGGGCTACACAGAGAAACCCTGTCTCGAAAAGACAACATTTAATTGGCCTGGCTTACTATAGGTTCAGAGGTTCAGTCTATTATCATCAAGGCAGGAACATGGCAGCATCCAGGCAGATATGGGCCTGAAGGAGCTGAAAGTTTCACCTCTTGTTCTGAAGGCAGCTGGGAGAAGACTGATTTCCAGGAGACTCACACTCATGCTGACACAACAAGGCTCTACCTCCTAATCGTGCCACTCTCTGGGCCAAGCATACTACTCTGAGGCAGGTCACATTAAATTATAAACATATCACTTGGAAAGGTCAAATTTCTAAGACATTAGTATCCGATCAACACCATAACCAGTTACGTTTTTTAAAAAGGGGGCTTGTTATGTAGACTCCTGGTAGCCTCTTATCTCCCAAGTGCTGGGATTAAAGGAGTACACTATCATGTCTAGCCACAATTACTTATTTGGTAAGTTATTTAGTCTCTTTACTCGCAAAGAGCACTCCCTTAGTGAGGCAGAACCTAAAAAGGTGTATTTCTTTAAATAAGGATAGAAAAAAAATAAAAGAAGTATTTGGCATAGAAGACAGTTATACAAAGGAGGCCCACTGAGTAAGACAACTGAGCAGATAGGGTGGCCAACAGACGCTCCTTTTGATGGGTATCTAAGAATGAGGATGATGAAGATTATTATTACTTATGTTTTTCAAGACAGTTTCTCTATGTAGCTTTGGCTATCCTGGAATCAATTCTATAGACCACGCTGGCCTCAAACTCAAGAGATCCACCAACCTCTGCCTCCCAAGTGCTGGGATTAAAGGTGTAGACCGCCACTGCCAGCCAAGAACTAGGTATTCTTATGAAATAACTACTCAACTACTTAAGTTTTGAGGTTTGTTTTTTTTTTCTAATGGTATGGGTGTGATGGATGGATGGATAGATGGATGGATGGCACAAAGGTGCCATAGGAGGCCAGATCCTCTGGGTCTGGAATGTAGATGGTTGTGGCTGCCATCTGGGTACTGTGAATCAAACCCAGGTTCTCTAGAAGGGCAGAGACTCCCTTTAAAATCTGAGGAGGCACTTCCTTAAGAGGGAATGACAGAGAAAAGGTCTGCCTCAGGAGCACAGTCATACAGAGAACCTGCATGAGGAGTCTCTCAGACATCTCCAGGACAAAGGCTATATCTCACCTTTTAGTAGGTCTTGAGGGAGTTATGGGAAGTTTAACAGCACATGATGTAGTTCAACAAAGCATATATGATGAAGAGCACTGAAGAGTCAGATATCATGAAGAGCTGTCAGGTCACAGCAGAGACAGCGTCTAACTCTTTTCTCAGGGAAAGCTGCAGGGAGGTGTCACCTGGTACTTTTAAGTTGTGGAATTTTTTTTTTTTTTATGTTTCAGTGACACTTTTCCTTGCTTTAATTAGTTTGTTGCCTTTTTCTGCTTGTGAAATGAGCTTTCGATTACAAAATATCAAACTACACTCAAAAGAGGGTGAAGAAAAGGCTAGCCATTGGCACAGCATGGAGAAGCTCACAACTAAGGACAGAGAGCAGCAGGAGGGGCAGAGGTGGGGAATAGTGGAAGGAGATGTCACAGGAAGCTAACCTATCCAATGGGGTGAATGCTAATGTCAGCACAAGATGACTGGCCACTACCGGGGTGGGTACGGCAGGGTTTGGGATCAGGCTCTACACAAGTTGTGGAAATTCTAAGAGTGATCACTGTCCTAAAGGCCTGTGCTCAAACACCACTGACTAATCCTCACCTTGCTTTGTTATAAAAACATGTTTTACTTTAACTTTCTGTTGATGTGTTTTGTCTGCATGTATGTGTGCACACCAGCGGCATGCCTATTGCCCACAGAGGATAAAAGGACACTGGACTGCCTGGACCTGTAGCTCAGATGTCTGAGAGCCACCGCTGGGCGCTGAGCATTTCCCCAGCCTCACATAAAAAGTTTCTGATGGAGGCAGGATAGAGACCAATCTCTGGCCTTCACTGCAAGACACTGAAGGAAGAGTTGTTATTCCAATGTTAATGGCTCTTTTTGGTTTTGAGACAGGGTCTCTTATATGTAGCACAAGTTGGCTTTAAAATCATGATTTTCCTGCCTCTGCCTCCCGAATGCCTAGAAAAAAGGTATCCACACTGTGTTTACAAGTATGTTTTCAGATGACAAGAGAGATTCCACCTAATATAAAAAAGCAAGTATATATGAATGTATCTGTGTTTGTCTCAACTAGTGAAGGGATTTGATTTTACTTTTCAAATTATTTTAATATCATTTATAAACTTCATTTATAGAAAGAATATAATATTGTCATTATCTATTTAGTACAGGTCTAATAGACAGAAATTCTATTATTAGGAAGAAAATAAAGGAAGTAAAACATAAGGAAAAAAAGTTTTCTCTAAATGAATTGCACACTTCAAATAAGGTTGTTTTAACATTTGTTTTGTTTTGTTTTTTTAAGACAAGATTTCTCCTTGTAGCCCTGGCTGTCCTGGAACTAGAGCTATAGACTAGGCTCTGCCAGTCTCTGCCTCCCAGTTGGGATTAAAGGTATGTATCACCATCACCATGGTCTATTTATACAACTTTCATATTACCTTATTTTAAACAGCACAGAAAGAAAAATCTTTACAAATGAAACAGATGCCATAAGACCATGAATCAGATGAATGAAACTACTTACCTAGCAAGTTGTGCAAGTTCTTTTTGGGTCAGTGGACTTCCTTGTTTACATAATAGGTTTTTAAGTAGAAGTAGTCTTGTCTGGAAATAAATATTAAAGAATTATAAATAAAGCCTAATTTGATAACAGAATTATAAAATCTGACTTGTGTTATTTAATAAACTAAGAATTGGCCTACTGTACTATTCTAGAATCAGTTCCTGACTGTTACCTTGGATCTAACTTGTGCCCGTTACATATAATGAAATGCAATGCTCCCTTGGAGCAGCTGATATTACTAGCAAGGATACTACAGGCCTGAACTAGAAAACTACAAATTTTAAAAAAGATTTATTTATTTTTACTTTGTATATATGAGTATTTCTCTAAATGTATATATGTGTACTGTATGTGTGTCTTGTTCCTACAGAAGCCAAAGAAGGGTATCCGATCCTCTCAAGCTGGAATTGCAGTGGGCTGTGAGCTGCCGTGTGGGTTCTGGGAACCCAGCCCATTTGGCAAGAGTAGCCAATGATCTTTCCCGCTCCAAGAAACACGATGTTTTTAAAAAAGGTCAGTGACAAATGATTTATAGAGCAAAGATTCTATTCATTATAGTTACATAATTTAAATAACTTTCAATTACACAGAATTGTGAAAGCATTGCCACAGTAAAGCTTTAGAGCATTTGTCACCCCCTGGAAGTTCACCCATGCAATTTGTAATTAATCCCCACTCCTACCTCCTTTCCTCTCCAACCACTGATCTGACTGTTTCTAGAAATCTGACTTTTTTAAATGTTTAATTTAAAAGGAATAAAATCGGGGCTGGAGAGATGCTCAGTGGTTAAGAGCACTGGCTCATCTTCCAGAGGACCTAGGTTCTATTCCTAGAACCCACATGACAGCTCATAATTATCTGCAATTCCAGTTGCAGGAGATCTGACCTCTTCTTCTGGCCTGTCTAGGGCTCAAGTACACACATGGTGTACAGACACACAATAGACAAAATACCTATTTTAAAAGTATGTATCACCTTTTAATACACATATATTTTAAAGAAAATAAGTAAATAAAACAATAAAATAAATAAAATCACACAGAACTAGTTTGCATATGGTCCCTCTCACTTACTGTTTTTGAGATTTGCTCATATTTCTGATGTAATATGTATGCTGATGAGTTTTTTCAAACTCAGGACCCTACATGCTGGGCAGGTACTCGATTTCTGAGCTAGATCCCAAGCCCCGGATAATTAAATAAAAAATTTCTGAGCTAAATCATACTCACTTTTTTCATTAAGCAGTCAGTGAACTTCATATTTTGCATGTTGAAGGGATGAAGACAGTTGCTCTGATATTACTGAGCATGTCTTCCCCCCATGTGGAAGTTTCCATTTCTCTTGGGTTAATGTTCAGATATTGTTGGATCTTATTTAAGTTTATGGTTATTACAGTTTCTCTGTGTAGCCCTGTCTTGGAATTCATTCTGTAGGCCAGACTGGCCTCAAACTCACAGAGACCTTCTTGTCTCTGCCTCAAAAGTGCTGGGATTAAAGGCAGGTACCACTACCCAGCATAGTTATGGTTTTAAGAAACTGACAAGCTTTCTTTTTCTTTTAAGATTTATTTTCATCTCACATGTATGTATATATGTGTACCACATATGTGCACTGCCTGTGGAGACCAGAAGATGTTGAATCTCCTGGAACTGGAGTCACAGTTGAGAGCCACCCATGAGTTCAGGGAATTGAACACTGTTCCTCTGGAAGAACAGTCAGTGAGTATTCTTAACTGTTGAGCCATCTCTCCAACCCCAACAGACTGTTTTCAAAATGTCTATACCACAGAATTACAAAACACAATACTGTCAGGATGGTACTTGTCTTTACTTTAGTAAAAAGTTGAAATATAAATATACATACCTCCTCATTTGGTAACGACACATATACCCGTTTAATGAAACGCCTAAAAACAAATCAAATTAGAAATATAAATTATAGGTAACTCAGCTCAAAAACAACTGATGGGAAAAAACTAAGTATAATCTATAAGGCAACTGAAAGTTATCCGTTACTAATATCAAAAGATATTTGTACTTCTTTTAGAACAGTGGTTCACCTGCAATTGAACCTATGGCCTCACGCATGCTAGACAACCCCTTTTTTGCTGATTTAATCCCTGGCAGGCCCTTCTTTCTTTATCTTAAGACATATTCTCAGAAAGTTGCCCAGGTTGGCACTGACCTACTCTGAAGTAAAAGCAGGCCTTGAACTTGTGGCTCTCTTGCCTCAGCCTTCCAAGTACCTTGGATGATAAGGCTGAGTCTCCAGACTTGGTTGTTATTTTTTTCCTTCTCTCTTAAAAATCTCTAATTAAGCAGATGGTTAAATTAAGTCTATCATTTTATATGTGTATTTTAATAGCAATGATATTTTAAAAACAAACGATAGCTGACATAACCAGTAGAATAAAGAGCCTTCTGTTTAACTGAATCAGAAAACAACTAAAAATGAAAGATTACAGAAACAGGGCTAGAGAGATGGCTGAATGGTTAAGAGCACTAGCTCTTCTTCCAGTGGCCCCAAGTTCAATTCCCAGCACCCACATGGAAGCTCAACACTTCCTGTAATTCTAGTTCCAGAAGTTCCTAGGCCTCTGGCTTCTGGCTTCCTAGGACACACAGATAACACACATATACACATAATTTAAAAATAATAAAAGCAAGCCTTAAAATATAGCTCAGTTACATTGTATGCAGTACAGTCTTCATTAGGTTTAAATAAAGGCAATTTAAATATAACCCTGATGTAGCCGAGGCCTATCAGCTGTCCAGAGTTGCTCCAGCTAGGTGGCAGTACACAGGGTGGACAGTGACCACAGCCACCAAACACTTGGGTGGCACCTCATAGTGATACCAGGGCCAGAGAATTAAAAAGTACTTGGCACTAAGACCTTAATTTGATCTTCAACATTATGCGGTAGAAAGAGCCAGCAGATTCTGGAAAGATATCTTCAGCTTCCATATGTGATTTAAAAAAAGAATGACAGGGAAACTGCACCCATGAAATTTCAATGACTGCCTAAAACAAGACCTGAAAAATGACACCACCCCTAATTAACATGCAATGTGGATGGGAAAACTCTCACAAGGCCCTAGGTGAAGAGCTACAGGTAATTAAAGCCTGCTGAAACAGGAAGAAACAATCTTCTTCAGGGACAGCTGCCCCTATTATGCAATCCCATGCAGTCAGCCCTAGACACATACACACGTGAGCAACACCAAGTGAACTCAGCAGGTGCTGTGTGTGTGTGTATAAGAGGCCATGAAAATCAATATGGCTACAAGAAGTCTACTCTATCAAGAGCCATCATAGAAACAATGAAGTAATGTTATATATGCCTTGAGAAAAGGAAATCTAGGAACTTAATACTGAGTCAAAGATTTGTTTTCCAGCATGAAGGGTTAAGTTTGCTTAAACACAAGAGCAGAGAGCCTCCCACAAAACATAACAAGATGGTAAGGTGTGCTGCCAGGTGGTAGAGGCAATGACATTTTGGAAGGCAGAGGCAGGAACTCTGAGTTTGAGGCCAGCCTGGTCTACAGAGTGAATTCAGGACAGCCAGAGCTATACAGAGAAACCTTGCCTTGAAGAAGAAGAAAAAGGTGCTGGAGAGATGGCTCAGTGGTTAAAAGCACTGGCTATCCTTCCAAAGGACCCAGGTTCAATTCCCAGCATCCACATGGCAGCTGACAACTGTCTGTAACTCCAGTTCCAGGAGATCTGACACTCTCACAGACATACACGCAAGCAGAACACCAATGTCCATGAAATAAAAATAAATTTAATGAGGGCTGGAGAGATGGCTCAGCAGTTAAGGGTACTGACTGCCCTCCCAGAGGTCCTGAGTTCAGTTCCCAGAAACCACATGGTTGCTCACAACCATCTGTAATGGGATCTGATGCCCTCTTCTGGTGTGTCTGAAGACAGTGACAGTGTACTCATATACATAAAATAAATAAATTAATGAATCTTAAAAAAAGCAGGCAGATCTCTGAGTTCCAGGCCAGCCAAGGAGATAGATGGAAGATGAACACACAAAACAAATCTGTCATAAGTGCATCTCACTACCTGAGAACGGCTTCATCAAGCTCTTGGGGCCTATTAGTTGCACCCATTACGAGTACTCTGTCATCTCCAGCAGATTGCACCTGTAAGCCAAAAAAGTTTATCAGTATTTTAGATAAAATAAAAAGAGATATTATACATACATGTATTTATAGTTTAGGTCACTTAATAGGAAAGTATACATATTAAAATACTGCCATAGTTAAAAATATAATTAGGGATTAGAAAGATGGGTCAAAGGTTAAGAGCAGTTGTTGCTTTTGCAGAAGACTTGATTCAGTTCCCAGCACCCATCTGGCAGCTCACAGCCACAGGTAACTCCAGTTCCAGAGGATCTTATGCTGGCTCCTGAGCACATATGGTGCTCATAAACTCATGCAGGCAAATACACACGATAAAATAAATAGTTTATATATATGTATATGTGTGTGTGTTATATATAAGTATATTAACTTACCCCATCAAATTCTATTAAAAATTCTGTTTTCAGTCGTCTGCTAGCATCATGCTCCCCTTCTCTTCTCTCACACAGAAGACTATCAACTTCATCTAGAAGCAATACAAGGAAAAGAGTTTAGGAGGAATCTAAGCAAGTCATTTTAATGTTCATCTAGTTTGCTACTTATTAGTAGTCCTGCTGGGAGCTGGAGAGATAGGTGGGTCAGTGGTTAAGAGCACTGGCTGCTTTTCCTAAGGACCGAGTACTCACACAGCAGCTCACACCTGTCTGTAACTCCAGTTTCAGGGGATCTGATCCCCTCACACATTACATACAAGCAGTCAAACACCAATGTACATACAATAAATAAATCATTAAAAACATTTTTAAAAAATCCTACTGAAGTCATTCTTTAAAACACTGTCCTGGCTGGGCAGTGGTGGCGCACGCCTTTAATCCCAGCACTTGGGAGGCAGAGGCAGGCGGATTTCTGAGTTCAAGAGTTCGAGGCCAGCCTGGTCTACAGTGTGAGTTCCAGGACAGCCAGGACTACACAGAGAAACCCTGTCTCGAAAAACCACAAATAAATAAGTAAACCAACAAATAAATAAACAAACAAACAGACCACTGTCTTGAAACCTACTTACCTATAAAAATGATAGACGGCTGAAGTTCTCGAGCCACAGCAAAGAGAGCTCTCACCAACTTCTCCCCTTCTCCCACCTACAAGGTATGATGTATGATGTATTCTTACACACATAAAATGTAACGGTATTGTAGTTTTTAAATGATCATAATTCAAAATTTAACTCCATGATCTCATAATATATTACAATGTGTTAGAAAACATACTATTTCCTTTTGCAAACTGAAGTTTAATGAAAACTATTTCACAATCCTACAGTGTACGAGGCCAGCCTGGTCTAAATGGTGAGTTTCAAAACAGCAGGGCAACAAAGAGAAGCCTGTCTCAAATAAACAGAAAAAACAAAAAACAAAAATAAAACAGGGAAAATCTTATGTCATCTCTTGATCTGGAGTCAAAGAGCAGGGAATATTCAGTTCATCCCAAGTCCTGTTCTTACACACTAGGTAGCCCTTTAGATAGCCACGCTAGGAAGCTAAAGTAGCTGTCATGATATTTACTACAGCCTGAATTATGTTGCCCCCAAATATACTGAAGCCCTACCTCTGGTATTTCTGAATGAGACTCCATTTGGAAGTAGCATCCATACATATGGTCAAATTCAGCTGAGGTCATTAAAGTGAGCCTGACTCTAGTGATGAGGCTGTATTTCTTATAACACATGGAAATTTGAACTCACAAGAGATCAGAGTGAGACATCAGCAAGCCAAGAACTACCTTGGTGTCAGTGTTTTGTTGTTCAGTGTTGAACTGCCTTGGTGTCTGATTGTCAGCACATCATCAGAAACTAGGAGAGACGTGTTTACTCAATCCTGTGGCTCCCAAAAGGTATTATCACTGTTAACATCAATCTTGGACTTCCAGAGGCCTAAATATGTATTTCCTTTTTTTAAGATTTATTTTTTATTTATATGAGTACACTGCAGCTGTCTTTAGACACACACTAGAAGGCGGCATCGGATCCCATTACAGAGGGTTGTGAACCACCATGTGGTTGCTGGGAATTGAACTCAGGTCCTCTGGCAGAGCAGACAGTGCTCTTAACCACTGAGCCATCTCTTCAGCCCCTTAAATATGTATTTCTACATCCCACTTCTTTGTGCAATAAATTTCTGGTATTTGATCTGGCCAACTTATGGCACTTTGTTAAGCTAGGCCTACCAAACTATGAAAGTATTCAACAACATAATTCTAATTTTAAAATAGCTACAAAGTTCATATAGCTTTGTACCATGAAGACTGATATTCAATATACATAAACAACAGTCATAAAACTCACAGAAAAACAATTTTCTGTAATGTTATCATTTTATTTAAAGTAATAGCATTTAAGACAGCAATTTAAAAGCACAAAAATACAGGAAAAGAACACTTACGTATTTTGAAGTTAAACTTGCAGCACTTATATTGAAAAAGGTCGCATTAGATTCTGCAGCTACTGCTTTAGCCTTTAAGATCAGAAGAGTAAATATATTAGTTCAATATTCCGAGTGTTTAAAAGGTGCTTGTTTCAGATCATTAAAGTACCACAACAGAGTCTCTAGAAATGAAAGAAACATGACTCCCAGCATCTGCTATGAGCAAAGACTCTACACACTGTGTTTCTTTCAGAGGGGGAATTAGGGAGGGATTCTCTTCTCTTTGGTAGGAAGATACTGGCCAGGGAAAGTTAAACAGGAACAAAGATTTATTCTTTTTCTATTTGGTTTTGTTGTTTGAGACCACATCTCACTGTATAGCCATGGCAGGTCTGGAACTGACTATGCAGACTAGATCCTCCTGCCTCTGCCTCTTCAGTGCTGGGATTAAGGTGTGTGCTACCATGCCTTTAATATCTTTCTGTTTTTACAAAAGAATAATATAAATATAGGTATTCAGTTACTGGTAAAAGCCTTTGTCAAAAGGATACTACAAGAAGACCAATAGCATACTAATTAGTCAAACAAACTTGTTAAGATGGGAAAAATTCTAAAAGTTATTAGACAGATCCTCAGTAAAGTACTTCTGCAAAACAAAACCAAAAACATGCTACTGAGGGTTATACATGGGTTTCCATGAAACTAAAAAACTCATAAAGTATACTACAACAGTAAGACATAGACAATATGCTTGGGAACGATATACAGCTCTTTTCACAGGATCCCTAATATCTCTAGAATCCCCAACCTTGATGACACTCTTACCAGCATTGTTTTCCCATTTCCTGGGGGACCGAAGAGTAACAAGCCTCTGGCAGGAGCTCTGAGCCCTGTGAACAACTTTAAAAAACAGGAGCTGGTTACAGCGAGGACTCCAGAGAGCTTATCCAGACTTGTCAACATGTCAAGTATGTATCACCTGCTATCTAAAAACATCTTTGTGGGGGCATTGGAGGGCTTGCATGAAGGAGGGCTGTTTTATTATGTAGCCCTGACTTGCCTAGAATTCACGTAGCCTCAGTTAGCCTCAAACCAAGAGATCCACCTGCTTTTACCAAATGCTGGGATAGGTGTGTGCCACACAACAGGCCTTATGGTTGTTCTCTTTAGCTCTGCAATTGTATGATTCCCTCTGTAACAAGCTGCCTTTAATCAATGTTCAGTCTATTGCGTTGCTACTCAGCCTATAAATTATCATCTGAGGCTTTACCTGTAGCTCATTCTATAAGCTACAGTATGTTCCCCAAGGGACCCTAGCTGGACCAATGACATAAATTTGGTTCATAAAAGACAAATGTTTTCTGTTTCTGTCTTAACTCTCATTTTATGAGAGTAACTATTGGTTACATTTAAATGTCAAACTGGTGATTTTAACTTGGAATGATAAGTACTAAATAGACAAAAGTGGACCTGATGGGGAGAGGTCATAGTCCTGGTTACTAAGAGGCTGAAGGAGAGAGAACTACTAGAGACCATGATTTCAAGACCATCCTGGACAATATTCTGAAACCTCATCCAGAAAAGAAAAACAAACAAAAAAAAGTAGAAAAGAAAAATAAAAGCCTATGAACTGGAAAAGCAATCCCCAGGAATAACTTCTAGTTTAGTCGGTGTCCATAAGTGATGACCACCACAGAGGACACAAATGCCTGAGAGAAACAGCCATAGATGCTTGGGACACCCACTGGGCTGGTCATCCATCCCAGTGTGCCACACAACAGGACTTCCACTAGGTGGTGAGGAGCTAGTCAATAAGACAGGAGTGTGATCCAGAAATGGGTACTCAAAATGATTCCTTGCAGTATCACTGGACCACAATAAATATGCTAGTTGACTTCAAAAACTCCAGAACAGTGGCATATACAGCAAACCAAACTTTAATTAGTAACTTAAAGATTTTCCATTTCCTTTAATGACTGCAAATATGAGATAAGCCAGATTCCCATTCATTATTCACTGGCTATCTGTTAATATCCTGGCAAATTAGTACACTGAAAAATAGTTACTTGCTCTTCAGACTTAAAGAATTATTTTACCTGAATTTCCCCTTTGTTCAGTTATTTTATTTGTATTATTATTATTATTATTATTATTATTATTGGTTTTTTCAAGACAGGGTTTCTCTGTGTAGTCCTGGCTGTCCTGGAAAACTCACTCTGTAGACCAGGCTGGCCTCGAACTCAGAAATCCGCCTGCCTCTGCCTCCCAAGTGCTGGGATTAAAGGTGTGCGCCACCACTGCCTGGCATGTTCAAAGATCTTAATTGTAAATCTTGGGACTAGGATAGGGCTAAGAGGTATCCACCTGACTTGCAAGCCTTAGGTTTAACTTAACCCTGGGGGTGGGGAGGGGAAGCAGTTTCTAATATCTCAATTTTTAAAAAAATTATATCATGACTATCTACTTTTCTCATAAAAGTTAAAAATGGACTCAGAATATCTTACACTCATTCTCATCTCCTTTAAGAAGCTAACAATAACAAATGTGATGCCTTTTTGTGAGGAAGGAGTTAAACGGGTCATGCTATATTATAGCCTAGGCTGGCCCAGAATTCTCTATGGAACCCACACTGGGTTCTCAAGCTCAAGATGCCCCTGCCTTAGCTTCCTCGGCTGGATGCTTGGTACATCCCCAGGCTTTCATGTATTTTTTTTAAAACACTGAGCTTGGAATTATTTAATATGAATTAATAAATTTGATAATGTAATCCTTACCTCAGGTCGAAGAGAAGGAAGAATGACAATCTCTTGCAACGCTTGTTTTGCCAGTTCCTGACCAGCTATATCATCAAATTTAACAGCTGTCCCACTAAGAAATACAAATCAGTTAATTTCACAACAGAAATATTGTTCAGTTACTTAAATGTGGCAGACTACTCTAACAGTCATTTCCATGTCAACTAGGAATCTTGTTTATTAGCAGATTCTTCAAAACAACCATAAAAGTTAAGTATGAAAGCAAACAAAATGTTTATTATGTAACATACATATGTCTTTTATAAATAAAAATAAATACAAGCTGAAATGCTTGCCAAACTTACTTGTCAACAATTTCATTCATTATGAGGTTAGCAAGATTGCTGTCCACATTCCTAAAATTTTTCAAGTCTTTCTTTTTCCGAACTGCAGTTGTGGGTGTAGAAGGCTTGTTGGTTCTATTTGGTTTTGGAGTACCCTTGAAGGACACAAAATTTAATGTAAAACAACTTAAGACTTCTCACTCATAAATCACCCTAAATGATAATAGAATTTAATAAAAAAAAAAACAAGGGAAACTATGAAGCTGTGGAGATGCTCGGTTAGTGGGATGCTTGCTGTACAACCATAAGACCCCAAGTTTAGATGCCAACCACTATGTAAGCCAGGCATGTGGAGTAGATCTGTTGCCAGTTCTCAAGGGCAGAAACAGGCAGCTCCCTGGAGCTCAGAGACCACTGCTCTAGCACAGTGTGTGAGCTCCAGGTGTGCTGTGGGAAGTGGCTGAGGAAGTTATCTGACATCTACCTGTAGTCTCACACAGAAGCAGACTCAAAGAAAAAAGTAATCTAAGACTGTAAAGATTATTTGGCTCAAAATTATATTCACTATAGAATGAAATTTGGCATGAAGAGGGCTAATAAATTTTATCCAGAGATTCAGTCACATAAAAGACAAAGGCAAGACACAGAAATGACTCAGCAGTTAGAACTTATACTGGAAAATCCTAAGGACTGAAGTTTGGGTAGTAGCACTCACGCAACACTCCAGTCACCCTGTACATGCCTATAGCTCCAATTCTGAAGGAGGCAAGGGAAAGTGGATGATCACTATGGCTTGCTGGCTTCCAGCCTAGCAAAGAGAATACAAGCTTGAGAGATTGAGGTTGGAGTATAGACTCTTCCTCAAAGGAACAGACAGACACCTAATGCTCTTTTCTAGCCTTCAGCTGTACACACACACATACACACACAAATACACAGAAATAAATACGTATATTTTTTTAAAGCCAAAGACTCTGAAAGAAAAGTTATATAACTTTGATTCTTCCTAGAGTTACAACATGCAGCACTCAAGAGGCAGAGGCAGACAGATCTCTGAGTTTGAACCCAGCCTGGTCTACAGGAACAGCTCTAGGCTAGCAAGGGCAACAGAGAAACCCTGTCTTAGGAAAAAAAATTACAACAAAATTCTAGGTATGTCTAATGTTATAAAATTGATACAATCTGAAATCTAAAACTAGAATTAAAATGACATATACAGAAGTGGAGATATAGCTCAGAGGTTAAGAGCACTGGCTGTTCTTCCAGAAGTCTTGAGTTCAATTCCCAGTAACCACATGGTGGCTCATGAACATTTATATTGAGATCTGGTACTCTCTTCAAGCATGCAGGCACGCATATAGGTAGAAAACAATAATTTTTAAAAAGATGTCATATACAAAATTATACTAAAAAGACTTGGAAAGTAAACAATATAAAATATCTAATTATTCTCAAAGGAACTACATTAATATTTTTATTTAATAGCAAATAGTTTTTGCAAATTAAAAGGTTATATGTAACCCTGTGGAAACCAATCAATTCTGTATTATAGAGAACTAATACAATGAAGCAAGCATAACCAAGTTTTCTCCTTTCAAACACACTACACTCACTAGTGTAGAGTACCTTATGTGTGGCAGCTGCAGGACCAGGTCCTGGTCTTGCTCCAGAAACCATGGATAAGCCACTGCAACTAGGCGCCCTGTGGTGACCGGAAAGCCCTGCGGATCCGCTTTTCATGACAGTTTTTGATCGAGGCAATGAATTACTAGCATGTGTTAAGGGGTCTTTCCTCTTTGGAACTGCTCCACTTTCTATTAAGGAAAGAATATAGCCATCGTGATTAGAAACTTTGACTATAAATATAAAAAACAACAATTAGCAATACTTATAATAATAAAACAAATTTGCAAAACAAGCTACCAGAAGTTAACAATTTTTATTTATTTGTGTGTGTGTGTGTGTACACTGTATGTAAGCACAAGTGTACATAAGTCATGGCAATGTCAAAGTCAGAAGACATTTGGGTTTTGGGTTCACCTCCCATCATGTGGATCCCAGGGTGGAACTCGGGCCACCAAGCTTATGCAGGAAGTACCTCTATCAGCCGGGCCATCTCACTGGCCCATATCAAAGGCTTTTAAATTTAGAAATATTTCAAAATAAGATCTGAGTTAGAAAATAACCAGGATGTCTTAGGACAGTTTGGGAAAAGGGGTTTGGTTATTAGGTCTACTCTTCCCAGTTGTAGATTCTAGTTTTCTTACGAAGAAATGTATTTGTGTAAAAACAACTTCCCTTGTTAGGGAAGGTAAGACATGAAAAAGTTACCAAATAACAAAGAAACAAAACAGTGAAGGTACTAGGGATATACTACACACAGAAAAATAGCAATACCCCCCGCCCAATCTGACTGTCCATGTTTGGAGCTTCTGAGTCGAGTCGAGTTGATCAAGGTTGTCCAGTACATAAATGTAAGTTCCAGAGCCCAGGCTCAGCGGATGAGTAGATATAACCAACAGGGAGAGGCAGTCAAGTACCCCAGGGACATGTGAAGACGACGAGACTGTCCTGGAGAAGGCTAAATGGCAGTCACTTCAGAGGGATAAAATCACTGGGAATAATTTCTTCAGACTGAAAATACACAAGCCTACGACTATAAGTAGAAATTTCAGGTTGAAAGTGATGGCACGCTGCTTTAATCCCAGTACTTGGGAGGCAGAGACAGGCAGATTTCTGAGTTTGAGAGTTCGAGGCTAGCCTGGTCTACAGAGTGAGTTCCAGGACAGCCAGGGCTACACAGAGAAACCCTGTCTCAAAAAACCAATCCAAAAAAAAAAAAAAGAATATGATGGCACAATTCTTTAATGCTAGTGCCTAGGAGTCAGAAGCAGGCTGATCTCTGTGAGTTCAAGGCCAGCCTGCCTACATACTGAGTTCCAAGATAGCCAGGGCTATGCAGAGAGATGATGTCTCAAAAAATAAACTTTTACAGAGAAATAACAAATGTCAGAATGGCTTAGAATATAGTAGTAGTCCAGACAGAGCTTGCTCAGAATGTGTAAGACCTTGGGTTGGATACTCAACATCAAGAAACAACCACCAAAACTTATGTCAGGGGCTAGAGATGTAACTCAGTTGGCAGACTGCTTGCTTAGCATGCAGGAAGCTCTGAGTGAGTGCCCTAAGACCACATAAAAGTGGGCATAGTGGTACAAGCCATCGTTAACCACAGGCAAGTTTACGGCCAGCTGGGATAAATGAGACCCAAAACAAATCCTAGTACAGGGGAGGGGAGGTAGAGGTAGGCAGACTCAGGGCTTCTTGGGTAATGAGTTTAGCCAACCAATGAGAGGTAATTGAAAACGATACCTACCCAACACCAGTCTCTAGCCTACACACAAAGACACACAGACACATAGAGACACAGCCAGCCAGCCAGCCAGACACACACACACACACACACACACACACACACACACACACACATATATGAGAGGGGGGGAACTTTCTTGACTACTGTCCACTTTTTGGGTTTGGGTTTTCTTTTTTAAAGATGTATTTATCTTATGTTGCATTGGTATTTTCCTTGCATGTATGTCTGTGTTGGGATGCCAGATCCTCTGGACTGGAGTTACAGACACTTGTGTGCTGCCATGCAGGTGTTGGGAATTGAAGCTAGGTCCTCTAGAAAAGCAGCCAATGTTCTTAACTGCTGAGCCATGTTCCCAGCCCAGAACTTTTTAGATTTTTAAAAAATTTAATTATGTGTACAGGGGTAGGGGGCGGGGGGCTGAAGTGTATACATGTGGCTGCAATTACCACTGAGGCCAGAAGAAAGCACTGGATGCCCTGAGTTGGGAGCTACAGACAGCTGTGAGACACTGGAGATTGCTGCTAGGAACCGAGTTCCAGTCCTTTGCATGAGCAGTATATGCTCTCAATGACTGAGTCATCCCTCCTGCGCTTCATATAATTTCTTTTGATAGAGAAAACCAAAATCAGGGAGCTGAAGCCACAGACAGGTGGGGGAGATTAGAGTGAGATTCTAGGAAAGTATCACCAAATAATTATATTTGATCCTGGGGAATCAAACTGAAGGACTCACATATGCATAGCAAGCACCTAGCAAGCTACGTGCCCAGCTCAAGGTAGTTCTAAACACTAGAAAGACCGTTTATAGTTTTATCAAAGGAACTACTTAAGAGGTGGGTGTGTTAGCACATGCCTATAATTTTAGATTCAATGAGAGGTAGTAATTGAAAAAGATGCCTACCCCACACCAGTTTCTGGTCTACACACATGCGCACACAAACACACAAACACACACACACACATAAACACACACATACACACAAACACACACATGGTGCAAAGGCACAGATGCAGACAAAATGCTTACAGAGAGAGAAGGGGGGGAGGTGCTAAAAATATAGTTAGGAAGACTGTGAACCATAGAACACACCAGACTTGCATCATAGAGGGCTGGGAAGTGAACAGAAAGGAGTTAAAGGCTAGAGTATGAACGCAGAGAAAAAGTAAAACCAGAATGTTTATTAATTTTGACTTAAAACTAGATACTATAAATAACATATTGTATTAATAAGTAGATTTTGGTGTGAACACTTATGAAAAGAGATGAAGTAACTCATGCAAGTAAAATATTTTAAGTATTCCAGATATAACACTAAGCCGGGCAGTGGTGGTGCATGCCTTTGATCCCAGCACATGGGAGTTAGAGGCAGGCGGATTTCTGAGTTCGAGGCCAGCCTGGTCTACAGAGTGAGTTCCAGGACAGCCAGGGCTACACAGAG